TCGTCAACCCATCCACTAGTGTGTAGCGAAATGAGTTGCAACCGATTGCTGCGATCTGTTGGCTGTCTGTGGTCCACTTTACTGAGACCGTATTTGACTCGGTAACAAAGTTCGCGGCGAGTAAATATTTGACATGTATGGGCCTGTGCCAATTGATAGAAGAGGAAATTTTGACGGATAAAAGTAAAAATTAGACATTTCTCGTGGTGAATACGAACGTCAAAATTTAATCTAGCTCATGGGGCTAGGTAAAATTTTGACAGCTTATAAACATGTATAGGCCGTGTGCCAAGCGGTAACATTTTTCTCCGTGGTGAGACGAGGTAAAAAAATTTACTATGGTGTGCAAATAAATTGAATTTTGCTGTTCTAAATGAGAAGTAAAATTTTGACAGCTCAAAAAAAAAACACTCGTGTGAAAGCTCTATTTTGGTGTGTTGCTGAAATTTATCAAATTTATATATAGTTTGCAACTTGCTACTTGCGTACGCTTGTTTTTGCTTTTTCCAGCTTCCATTTTAGATTTTCACTCTTTATTAAGGTGTTCTTACACGATATGTATTTGCATCTGTAAATGTATTGTGAATAGGGCCTTAGCTGGCATATATGTAAATACTCTTTACCACTAACAGCTGTGAAATGTATAATCTCTTTGCTTAAAGGAAATATAAAATGTCACTTCTTCTTTTGCACAAAAAACGATCGCACGTGTTTTTTATTTGAACAGGTTATGGGACCAGCCCACCTCGTTAATTAATTTTTCTTTTGCCTCTGTTGAATTGCGAATTTTATTGCGTTTGTCGCATTACTTGTATTAAATTTAAATCGGTTTTTTCATAAAACACTTAATTAGCAATTAATAATCTTCAAAATGGCTAATTCAACGAAAGCAGACTTTGCGGTTGAAAAATTAAAAGGCGGAGAGAATTTTGCCAATTGGACGTTTGCAATGGAGAATTTCTTGGAGTTAAAGAAATTAGGTGACTGCATCGTTCCATCAAAGGAAGATCCAAGAATGTGCAAGGAAAAAGAGGCCGACAAATTAAGTTCTGCGAAAACGTTATTGGCACTAAGTGTGAAGTCAGAGCTATTTGTGCATATTAGAACATGCAAAACGGCGTTGGAGATATGGACAAAGTCCCAGAACATGTACGAAGATCGTGGAATAATGCGGAAAATTGGTTTGTTGCGCACTTTGATCTCAATTCGTTTAGAGGAATGTGAAAACATGCAGATTTATATCGATCAAATAATGACAACGGCGAGTAAATTAAATTGTATAGGTTTTAGCATCGACGACGAATGGTTGGCTGCAATTATGCTTGCAGGATTGACAGAGGAATACAAACCACTTAATTTGAGTTTTGAAGCATGTGACAAAATAAATGCTAATGACATTAAAATGAAATTGTTAGACACGCAGTATTAACGTGAGGGTAAAACCAACAACAATGCGTTTATTGGCAAACATTCGTTTAGGCAAAATAGCAAAAAA